CAAACCGGATCCTTCAGCTAGCCGAAGCCCGACCTGCAAGGCAGCGAGGCGGTATGTAAAAACCGCAATCCATTGGTGGCCAATGTCCAGTTCATCAGATCATACCCTTCAGACGGGGTAAAACACCCAAGGTGCCCAATAGATCTCGATGTTTAAACTAACTGGTGATCCCTACCACAACCAGGAGGGTGTAAGTGGATGTGGTTCGTACGTCTCTTTTTCGATTTAGAATCAGGGTTTTTAGCCAACTCCCCTAGGTGGACTGTCAGTGGTTCGTTTACCCGGTTATAGCCTCGGATATTGGCTTTTCATCTTCCCACTTTAGTGGAAAAACATCTCTACTAGAGGGCAGTGAGTAGGGCGTACTTTTCATGTCCCTGTCAAGACCTAAAACGCAACTTTCAGGTTGGGACTTCAAACCCTTACTCCTGACTTACACGGTCAACGATGGTCACTTCGTGCGAATGGCCCAGTCAATTTAGACGAACTCCCAAGCAGGACGAAACAACTGTTCATCGGTCATCAAAAAAATTGCCTTCGCATTTAAATGGTGGGGAATTAACGATCTCCCAAGGATCGAAACCCACACCCAAGATAATCAATAGTGTCTGGTGTCTGTGAAAAGCCGAACGGGCTAATCCAAACATGCACCGTGTAAAAAACATACTGAAAGTTTTGAGTTTGTCAATGCGGTGTTCGGTATCCAACGGATGCCATATCACTGCGCTTGCTGAAAGCTTTTTCCTTCTCAGCCGAACGTTTCATCTTCGAATTTCCACTTTATCCATCATTGAAACGCTTCACTTCCGCCTTATTATCCTTTTACTTGCGGTAAGTTTTCTGGGTTCTCCTCGTATACGCTATTTTTATTTCGGCGACGAGCCATGTAACATGTACATAAGTAACTACTGAACCCCTTTTGATCCTGGTGTTTACCATAATAAAATAAGTCTGATCCTCTCTGTTGGAGTGAATAACTGTGCCCCTGTTTTTCCTCATTCTCCCATCTCAGGTAACCTATACAAAACTCGTTGCACTCGATGCGAGACTGTCCGCGAGAACTACGATAGTCCTATTTGTCCCGCGTTAGCTGGTCGTGGGTACGTGCGATTCTCGTTTTCAAATTATATCACCTGACACACAGGTTTGTTTATGCAGACATTGCGTAATCAAAAAATATAGTCCATATTGATTGATAGCAGTTGTCCACAGAATGACCATGTGTTCATATTCAAGTTACCGGCGACGCTCATATACAGTTTGGAACTGTGGATCCAAATACCCATACACTACATGACACTATCTTCAAGGCAAAATGCTTTACAAACGCCTTGA